ATTAAATTGGAATAATACTATTCTGTTTTAGTTCTTCGGTAGTCAAAGCTGTAAAAGTAACTTCAAGTGAACCATAAGCCGTTTCACCGCTATCTACAGTATATAACGGTGAAACACATCGAGCCAGTGGTTTGTAAGTTGCCTGGTCGCCGCGAGGACCTTGACAGTTTGTCAATACATGAAGTTTTTATTGTAAGCAGTTCACCATATTAGGAAACTTTTGGCCCTCAGGACAAGAGTTTTGTTATTATGGTGGTTTGTTTCATAAAAAAGTCTAGAAAATAAACGTCTGCTTTTTTACTGCCAAATTGTAAAGCCCTTTGTCGTGTCATTTTGAGAGGTGCTCTGCTGCACAAAAAGCTATAATTTTATTATTTTTTTCAACCTATATTTGGTCACATTATTAGGATTTTAGGATCAGTAGCTTTGCTTAAGTCTAGATGAAAAATAAACGTACAGTAGTACCTTTGGTCTTAATATATTACAAGCCATTTGTTGAGCAAGTTAAATTGCATCAAGATGGAAGAAGTCTCCAACATTGAAAAGTGATCCGTTCTATTGTAGAGTTAAGGGAGTGAAAATAAAGAGTGACAGTTGCATTCAGACCAGAATCCAGCACGTGTTTATGGAAACCTTAAGTAGTTGTCAACACCTCCTTAGTCGCTTTAAGAACTTTCTGAATAGTGCGCGACAGAGAGCTTGCTCTGTGAAGAATCGCTACTGTACGTCACATAGATGTGAGTTTCCCTTATCCGATGCACTGTTAATCAGCGCACGACATTTTGCTTAACCGCCTTGCACAATAACTAATCTTCATGAGCATTATGCAGTTTATCAAATCTCTCTGTGTGGAAATGCACTCCTCAGCAGCCAGAGAGCTGCATATTTATCAATGGCCTGAGCTGCACAAGTGATTATAAATTCCTGTAATGCATGGAATGCCCATGAATATGTTTTCTCGTGGCTGAATTATTGCTCCGCTATAAAGCTGTGCCATATTTCTTTTTTTTTTTTTTTTTTGTGGAGCTGAAATAAATCTGTATTTGCTAAATAAACCTGTATCTCTCCCTGTGTACAGTGCCCTCTTGAATAATGGCTGCCGTCGGCTGGGAGCGGTTATCAAATTAGTACGCATAAACTAAAGCAGAAGTTAGTTTGTGTTTTTCATTCCTTCTCTTGTTTATTTTTCACTCGTTTGTTTTTTTGAAGGCCAATCGCTGTTCTGGAGGTCACACCGTAACATCTCATTAGTTTTTTTTATAATTGCGAAAGTAAATCAAATGATTTCATATGCACATGATCAGCAGCTATGTTTTCATGTTTAACCTTGTTAGTTAATGAATTTCGCGATGGTAGAGTCAAAATAAACAAGCCTTTGGGGGTTTGTGTTTATTTTATTCACAATCCTGAATATTTAAGGTCTACAATACACCGAGCTAAATACAGTCTAAAGCCATATGTTCACGTCCTCATCTCCTCGAGGCTCTGGAGCGTTCTCATAATATTTCCCCTTCGTTGAGATAGTGGGCAGACTAAAGAGGATTCTATTACAGAGCAGAATACATTCTCTTTATATATGATTATATATTTTTTAGCAGAAGGTGCAGAGGCCTCGCTCTCAGAAGTACAAACTGATAAACATGGAAGTGGTGCCCTCAGAGAATGGTTTTACATGTTTGAGATACAAAGAGGCAAATATTTAAATAGCATCATGCAGCTGTAATCTGTAGAAATATTCAGTACAATGAACGAGGAAAGATTATCGTCATACTGCCCAGGGCAGGACTTTGCTGGGGTTTATTCCCAGTGGATCTCGCTGTCCTCGGGTCCATTTCCGATCGGGTCTTTTTCTTTATAAAATGTATTTGTGGGCAGTTTTTCCCAGTGTCCATTTCTGATCGGGCCCTATGAAGACTGTGTACTTCCCTGTAGGTATGAGTCAGCACCACTAGCCCTTTGAAAAACATCTCAAAGCCTTCTACACAGTCCTAAACTCCAGGCCTTATCAATAAGGGTCACTCAAAACAGTGCAGTTAGAGCTGCACCTAACAATTATTTTCACTTTTGATTAATCTTACAATTATTTTCATGGTGTATTCAATCCATTTTTGGTCTATTAAAGCTTAGATCACAGTGAGAAATGGCTGAACATTAGAAACTTGAAAGCAGACTCGAGCTTTAACGTCTCAGCGATTGCTCAGCAGCATCCATGGAGCCCGACACCACAGTCTTCAGCACTGAGCTGGAGATGCACAGTTACCCGTCTGTGAGAACAAACAACACAAACTAAACTCCCTGGTCGCTTAGCATCCCCGGATTAAAGTGAGAAAGCCTTCATCCCTGTGATATTCCATCTCTTTATCAAGATCATCGTGGAAGCACTGTGCACTACGCCGGTGTTTACTCAGATTTCTTTGTGTATTCTCTTCTTAGGGGGCTTAAATCCCTCTCCTCCTCTTCACCCTCCTCCTCCTCCTCCTCCTCCTCCTGAGTCCCATACATTTTCCTCCATCCCTGCCTCCCTCTGATTAATTACAAGGTCAGTATAAACAAAAGGGAGCAGTTGTTCACATGGTCTGCTATATCATTGGCCAACG